GCTTTGTTCGGGTATTTTCCCGCGTCATTATAGTTGTGCTTTTAAAGCTGTAGCAACGTTTCGGCAGAATCTCATCTGCCATCATCAGGCTTCTGTATAGTGTACATCTGTGAGTCAGACTTTTTGTTCGTCTGTGAGTCAGACAAAAAGTCTGACTCACAGATGAACACAACCCGAAGCCTGATGATGGCAGATGAGATTCTGCTGAAATGTTGCTACAACTTTAAAAGCACAACTATAATGATGTGGGAAAATACCCGAACAAAGCTGAATACCATACATACATACATACATACATACATACGTATACATATACATATGTGTGTGTGTGTGTGTGTGTCTGTATGCCTATGTCTCTGTCTGTCTGTGTCTGTATGTCTGTGTCTATCTGTCTGTCTGTCTATCTATCTATCTATCATCTATCTATCTATCTATTTCTCTCCCTCCCTCCTTCCCTCCCTCCCTCGCTCTGTCTCTCTGTCTTCAATCCACAGGGTTGTTGTAGGGAAAAATAGGAGAGAGCACCATGCACATTGCCTGCAACCACTCCTATAAAATGTGCGGTATAAATCTAATCATTTTTTTAAAACAGTGATATAGAAGGGAAAATGGACTTGGGGAAGGATCATTTCTTCAAATATTCCCACTGGGGTCATAGAAGGGAGCCCTTTATCTCCACCCTGCATTTGAGGTGTGCCCAGTGTGAATTGTCTAGAAACGAGGAAAAGGACGGCTGGGCTAAAGAGGCCCCCTATATCCCCCAGTCAGTCCCGATTTGGCAAACTGTGTCCACCCACTTTTTATCTTTGCCAGAGAAGCTAAGCCACTCCAGTCATATACTCTGCTCTTCTCAGCTTCGGTCAAGGAATGTGACATGTCAGAAAACAGCTGCTGCTTGGGAGGAAGAGAGGGAGGGTGGAACTAGATGGGGGGAGGCGCTGTAGGATTTTTCATTGTGTATTTCCCTTCCTCTAAAAGGGAAGGGGTGTAATTCAGTGGAATGAGGAGTAGTGGGACCATAAAAAGACGGTAAAGGCGTTAGAAGTTTCAGAATGAGGGCACGGGTGTTGTGTGAATGGGGAGGATTGTGCCCTCTGCAAAGAGTCCAGCTCCCTCAGGGTATTGAGATGGGCTGGCTGCAATCTGAGACCATCCTAAAAATAACCCCTTGCCTGGCAGCAAAGGAACCTTCTGGGACTTGTCCGGTTGGGTGGGCAGGCACCTGGAGCAGCGTCAGTGCCCCCTGGCAGATGCCCAGCAATTGGGGGGTCTCACACAGAGAGGGTGAACATCAAGGAAGGGAAACAGCTGCCGGGGGGCTGCGTGGGGCCCTATCTGGCTGAGAGATTGCAAAGTCCTAGGTTGGAGGGTGTGTGTGTCTTATGCAACATCACTGCAACCAAAGACCGTGTAACGGTCAGTGAGGCCCTAAACCATGCAGAAAGCTCAGGAACAGAATATTTTCATCCACGGCACAGGTGAAGCTGAGCAGGCAGGACAGGTGTCCAGCAGAGCTCCTCCAAGCCCTGCCATCCCTCCCAAGAGAGCCAAAGTCACAGCGGAGCAGGGACGCCCTGCGGCTCCGGTTTTTCTGCAGGAGCTGAAAGACACAGCTGTTAGCATCGGCCATGACTTCCTGCTGAAGGTGGTTGTGACCGGCAACCCCCAGCCACACCTGACCTGGTACAAGGAGAAGGTACCTCTTGCTTCCATCAAGAAGAAGGTCAAAGAGGAAGAAGAAGAAGAGGACTATGGCAGCCTCCAAATCCTCAACAGCAAGGTGTCGGACGCTGGAGTCTACAACTGTGTGGCCAAGAACAAGCATGGTGAAGCCGTCAGCACAGCCACCGTGACAGTCACCGATATGGAAGGTATGGATAAAGTGGGAGGGGTGGGTATCTGGTAGGGCTGCAGTGCCTGAGCCCTACCTGGGCAGAGCAGTTGCTGCATTAACAATGACCACTAAGCTTCCCAAGGGGAAACAATCAGCCTTGCTTTTCCGAGAGACCCAATTCTTCAGCCCGAGCACATATTTAGCAGCACTGCAAAAGAGCAGGGTTTGGCTGGAAAAGAATGATAACAGAGAACCTCTGATTGTGTATCAAATTCATAATCCTTATTGATAAGTAAACATGGTTTATTCTCCCAATGAAACAAAGAGCCAGGGTTTCCTGTTGCAGGGTGTTTGGTCCTTAGGCTTAGCTTCCGTACGTCTTTCTTCTAGAAATCAATCCCTGGCATAAACCAGACAGCCCTCTGGGTCACAGTGTAGGGCAGGAATGGGGAACTTCTGTAGATGCTGAACAACTGTCATTATCTAAGCATGGTCCTTCCAGTCATTGGACCTTATGACATGAATAGAACTGGGAGGAAATGGAAAACCTGAATGCATGCCTTTCCTGGGCTTAATTCACCCCTTGCCTCATTAGAGAATAAGAATTAAAAGAATTAAGTAAGAGGAGAATAGCACCCCCATTTAGCAGAACTACAATTGCTTATTCGTAATAGATAAAACTCCTTGAAAACTAAATTGGACCCATTCTGAAGTTAGGGAAGTCTTAGTGAGGCTGTTGGAGCCCTTAGAACAAGGGTCTTCAAACTTGGCAAGTTTAAGACTTGTGGACTTCAACTCCCAGAATTCCTGAGCTAATAGGACTGGAGGAGGAATTCTGGGAGTTGAAGTCCACAAGTCTTAAAGCTGTCAAGTTTGAAGACCCCTGCCTTAGAAACAGGGTGGAAATTACATAATAGTAAGTAGCACTTAGACTTATATACTGCTTCACAGTGCTTTACAGCCCTCTCTAAGTGGGTTACAGAGTCAGCATATTGCCCTCAACAATCTGGGTCCTCGTTTTACCAACCTTGGAAGGATGGAAGGCTGAGTCAACCCTGAACCAGTGAGAATCGAACTCCTGGCAGTGGGCAGATTAGCCTGAAATATTGCATTCTAACCACCGTGCCACTACGGCTCTTTGTAGGGGATAGCAAAGCACCATTTTTGTGGCCCAGCAAATGGGCAACTATGAGGGCCAGCGGGCGGGTCCCATTCTTCCCTCCTTCCCAAGTTAGGGCAATCATTAATATCTGCAACCTGAGCCCTTTCAGGAAATTAAACCGCCTCCTGTCCGGCCAGCCCACTGCCAGAGAGGCTGCTTCTCACTTCGTCAACTGAATCATCCCCTCCTTCCCACATAGTTTTCCTATGATCAGGTTCTTCTTGGTGCTGAGGGCGTGATAGAAACTGCTACCAACTCACCAACAGCCCTTTTCCTACCTCCAGTACTTCAAATGTGTTTGTCATCGTACACAATATGGTGGAGGCTTCTGTTCAAAGGGACAAACTGTAAAGTGGAAGTCACTCCTAAATCAGCATGGTCCAATGAGCTGCAGCAGAGAGGCTCTAGTATCCTGCATTACAGCTTTGACAGTCGCCTGCCAAACTAGTGCTAGATTACGTGATTGATAGCTAGAGAGAGTTCCTGTTTCTTGACTCATTAACAGAAGCAGAAGTATTTCCCTACATAAAACAAGAGAAGACATTTAGGCTGAAATGTCTCCAAGACAGAGGAACTCTTGTAAGTTCAACCAGTCTAATTTTGACCTGTTTGGTGAAGCTGCTCCAAGTTGGCCACCTTAGTGTGTACTCCATTCCTTTCCAGAGATAAATCTACAATATGTGTTGTAATGCATTTGGATTTAGCACCCAGTCAAGATTGTATTTCTTGGACCATGGTCCAATGAACCAGAGAATCACATGGCAGGATTTTTTTTTTTCAAAATGGAACTGACAGGCATTTAGTCAATCAGATGAAGGTCATACCCCATATAGGTTCAAAAAGGTTAGAGCTGGAAAACTCTGCCAGTTCTAAGAACCAATTTGCATGATGTGCTGAACCACATCTAGACTAACATATTAACAACGGATTTTATGTTGTGTGAACACAGCCAATAGGTTTCAGAAGGCTGTTTCTAACAAGGATATATTATAAGCTTATCTAGATGAGGGTCCTACAAATCTAACTTATGTTTAATATTTGCGAAGGCAACTATTATAAGATCTGTACATTCTCAAGTTGTCTCAGAACTTTAAAACAAGTAAAGTTCAAATCTTAATTGCTTTATGTTTGTGGGAAGTTTAACACTGCAGGTGGCTTCTCAAACCCAACTTTTATTTGTACATATGTCCAAAACCTGGAGGAGATGGCAATCATGCACAGATGGCCATCTAATCAGAGTCTGAAAGTTCTCATTCTATGAATATCTGTCATAAACAGAACCACATGTATAATGTGATGCTAGTAATCTACAGAAAGCCCAGTGTATTCAATTGGTTCCACTAAAGAGAGAAACATTATAGCAGGGGTCCCCAACCATCGGGCCCCGGACTGGGACCGGTCCGTGGATCATTTTGTACCAGGCCGCCGGTACTTGGGCACCACCATCTTGTTTCGATGGCACTTGAGAAAGTGCTTCCGGGTGAGCTTGTCGGTCGTCGGTTGGAAAACGGCGTTTGGGTGCTGAAGGAATCCTCACGCCTTAGTTTCATCGAAGGGGGGGGGCGGCTTCGAACGAAGAGCCATCCCAATGGCGGCGGAGTCTCGCGTTATTCGGGAAGAGATTAAGAAAGAGCCTGAAAAGCCCATGGAAGGTACAAAGGAGGAGTTGAAGGTGGCGGGGAGAAGCGGGGGATGGCTGGCTGGCTGGTCGCTCGGCTTGCCTTGCCTTGGTTGTGCGTACTGATGCCGGTACCAGTCCGTGGATCATTTCATTTTTATTTTACCGGGCCGCAAAGAATGAATGGTTGGGGACCACTGCATTATAGGACTACTAGATCCAGGCTGCTGAAATTCAGATGGTCAGCAGATGGCAGTAAAGAGACAGGAAATTCTTCCTTGGTTGCCATCTTATGGTCCTCCAGATTCTGCAGCCCAGATCTGGGAGCCTAATGGAAGTCCTGTTAGAAAAGGAAAAACCTTATCAGCTGTACCTTGCATCTTCCATGCATTTAATATAAGATCCTGTCTCGTGAATTCATGGTGTAGTAGCCAATCACAGCAGCTATAGTTTGTTTTTTGGTGGGAAGTGGGTATTCCACCCCTGCCCCCCAGATTTCTTGACAGAGGCATCTGTGGGGCAAGGGAGCAAGGGATCAGTGATGAAAACAAGGTTGTGCCCCATTTGTATATGGATAGGCCTTGTTTACCAGCTGCCTCATTCTACAATTGTTCTCAATTATGGCAATGATGAAAACGTTTTTATGACAAGTTTTCACATTTATGAGCATTGCAAGTCTGTAAAGAAAAGGAAAGCTGAAGTAAGACCTGATTTCACTTAATAATTCCTTTGCTTTACAACTGAGTATCCGGACCCAACTGTGCTTGCTAAATGAGGACTATCTGTATGCACTGAGATATCACATGCACACATGACAGGGGTAGAGTTTGTGTTGCAACAGTCCAACACTACTTTCATCATTTGGACAAAAGGTTCCAATACTTCAGATGCCTGTTCCCAAATCTGTCTTGCTGAAATAACTTCACCATTGTTTGTGCTGAAAGACAGAGCATCAGTGAAGCAGAGTACGTGCTTAATGAAAAGTCATGATTGTAAGGCAGATCATTTTAGATAGTTTAAGCAAGGATGGGATTCAAAAATCCCAGCAACAGGTTCGCTGCCTGGGTGGGCATGGCAATGGTGGGTGGGGCCTACCGGAATTTCCTGTTTCCAGCTTCTGGTGGGCCTCCAGAGCCCAGGGGAGGCTGTTTTTGCCCTCCCAAGGGTCCAGAGGCCTCCCCCAGAACTCTGGGAGGGCAAAAACAGCCTCTCCGGCCTCTGGAGGCTCACTGAAAGCCAGAACTAGGCCCGTTTTGCCACTTTCCAGAGCAGTAGTGGGATTCTTTTTTAAAAAAAAATTACTGGTAATGTGGGCGTGGCTTAGTGGGCATGGCAGGGGAAGGATATTGTAAAATCTCCAGTCAGAGGTGGGATTTGCCGGTTCTTCGGACTACTCAAAATTTCCGCTACTGGTTCTTCAACTGGTTAGAACCAGCTGAATACCACCTCTGGTCCAGAGGCCTCCCCTGGGGCTCTGGGAGGGTGAAAATGGCCTCCCTTGGGCTCTGGAGGCCCCCCTGGAAGCCAGAAACAGGCTTGTTCCCGGACTTCCAGAAGTTCCCATTTTTCCCCTCCCAGAGCCTCTGTACGGACCCTGCACTTACCTCCATCGAAAATGGGCCACATGGAGACTCCTGGGAGGGGAGGGGCGGGAGGGGGGGGACCAGCTGGTCGGTTGAAATACTGGTTCGGTGAACCAGCTATAACTTTAACATCCAGTTTGCCTGAACTGATCCGAACTGGTGGAATACCACCCCTGGTTTCAAGGGTGAGTCTTGAGAAAAATTGAACATGGAAGAAAAAAGAAAGAAATGAAAGAAACTGCGGTGAAAATAGAACAACTGCAGGGAGAAAAAAAAAAGGAGTCCTGTATAAAAAATAATAGTAAAAGATTGATTGTTCTCTCAATGGAATGAATGCAGAATGCAAGTAAGAAAGGTGATATGGGTACTGCTTAGAACAGAGTGAAAGAATTACAGTATGTTATGAAGCGCCTAAGAAGCAGGTGGAGTTACAGGACACCCATAGAAAATATGAACCAGGATGCAAACCCTGTCCTTTCCATGTATGGTAGAAGAAGCATGAGACCATTTCATTAATATGATTGTGGATTTGGGACATGTGATGCAGTGCAGGATTGCTGCAGTCTTGGTTCTTAAAAAAGGCAAAAATCTGAACAACCATTAGATGGTATCAAACTGATATACTCAGTATATTGTTGCCATCTAAGGTTTATCTAGATTTTTGCAGTTCAGAT